TGCATTGACATTTTTTTTTTACTTCAGCCTGCCAGTGATTTGGAATCGGTATTGGCTTGTGTAATGCAATTGGGTTAGATCCTTCTTTGAATGTGATATCTAATGGTTTTCCTGTCATTGGTTGTAATTCCTTATGGGTGCAGGTATTAAATCGCTGTTAGCATAATAATCTTTTATCCAATCTTCAATTTTCCTACGGTTTTCCACTGTGACAGGTAAAGGCATTTCCTTGGGTAATTGCAGGCAGGTTTTTTGTTTTGGGCAACCGCATTTGTATAGTGTATGATTTGTTGCATTGATAATTTGTTGACTACATAAATTACTTACTTTTGTTATTATAGTCGAGTTTAGAAAGTTAGATAATATGATGTCTAGATTTTTTAAGGTGGTTTGGGATAAGTAGATTCTTTTTACATTGTCACATATATATAGCAGTTGTGTTGTTGATTCAGTTTTTGTTGATATATTGACTATTAAAATACCTTTAATGTTGGGGGTGTCGTCAGTGACACCGCGGATTCGATGTTTTATTTCTATTAAACATTTTTCAGATAAAGGCCACCTTTTTGATATGACTGAGTCGGCAGTGCATGTTTGGGCTCCAGTATCTGCTACAGCTAACAATGTTATAGGTTGTAATTTTGTTTGTTCTTAGTAACTAATGGATGAAGGTTTTAGTTTTTTATGTGCTAATAATTTGACTTCATGTTTCACAAATACGTTTGTTAGTGGTTCAGGGTTTTTAAATGTAAAATTGTTATCGCTCCATGTTCAATGTGGTATGATTCTATCCGGTAGTCGTATCTGATCAGTAGCTACGGATGATATATAGGATAGTTTTTCATGATCATCTTCTTGTATGCAACATGTTTTAGTGCAATACAGTGCAAAAATGATTTGCTTTTCCGCAATTCCCACAAGTCTTTCCATGTGCAGGACGTTGTCTTCGTCCAGTAGGATGTAAGCTTCTGCCACATCCTCTGCAATATATTTTGACTGGTCTTTTCAAAATTTGACCCTTTGGGATTGGTAGAGGATGTAATGGTTTTTGCTTTCTGTTTTAGTAATCCGATTTTATCGGAGCCATCCTGCTGTTGTTGGTTGTATTTCTGAAAAAGAGGGATGCTTTCTCCGTTGATTCCATTATTAATAAGCGTTCAATAAGTATTTCTAATGTAGCTTTCTAATTTATTTCCAATAGCTAAAACAATAGTTTTGTTGTGTTGGGTTGCTTATTCCATCAATTAGTTGTGATTTTATCATATCCGATGAGTAATGTACATTGTATATGTATAATGTATAGCATATACATTGATAAGCCGACCAATCACATTTTTTTCTAAAATCGCATAGCATGGCTTGTGATTTAATTCTACCAATAAAATTTGTGAATGTTTCCCTATCAGATTGTTTCAGACAGTAAAATTGTTGTCTATATACTTCTGTGTGGATCGATTTCACAGCTACTGTTTTTATATGTTTCAATAGATCTTTTTCATTACAGATGTATAAATTTTCTGGGCCGACAAAAATTAATAGCATCTCGTTTATTGATGTGCTACACGCCAGCTGTAATTCGTTAAATATTTTTTTGGTTCCGTAGTTTTTGTAGCCTTTTTATATCTCGTCTAGGCATCAAGAAAAATTAATCATGTATTGTCAGACATGTCTGCTTCTATGGATGGTTGATTGGCTTTAAGTTGTATCTAATATTATTGTTTGAAACGACGATAAGTTGTGATGATTGTTTTCGTCTTGGTTAGATTCAGGTTTTATTTGCCATCCTTTTTTTTTTTTTTTTTTTTTTACTCAAATCGTTGACTTTTGATTTGGACTTTGTTTTCCAGTATTTGATTTGCACGGTTTAATATTTTATTAAATGTTATTTCAGGATAGTTTAAATAATGCGTTGAAAATTAGGTTTAAGTTTTAGATGTTCCATTTTTAGCTCATTGCAGATTCCTAATTCTCTTCATAACACTAAAATATCTCTTGCTCTCAGCTAAACTTACAGACATAGTTAAAAAAATCCATATCATGATAGATTGATTCGATAACAACATTTTTACACTGAACTGTAATATAATAGAGTTCAATATAATAGAGTTCATGAACTGAACTCTATTTTTAATTTAAATATAAATAATAATTTTAGGTTTTGTATATTATATATCTTTAATTATACTTTCAATATTATCTTTTTCTAGATCCAATGTTGAATTATGCACACTGATAATAAAATTGGTTTGATACAATAACAATAGTTGTTTTATCTAAACTGTAGACATTAGACCAAGTACTACCTTCCCTTTTTACTGCTGTCTTGTAGGGCTTTCTTTTTTAGGCAAAGGCTTGGAGAAATAAACTCAGACTTAAAATTTCCCTGCATTATGGCTCTTGGTTGAATAAATGCAAGAGATAGTGTCTCAATACTCATCTTAGGGAAATGTTAACTGCTGTCAACAACTGTCTTGTGAAAGGCCTGCTAGGCAAAGACTTTAGTGGTAAGCAAATTAATTCTTTTGATTAGATTCAAACCTTTTTTTCATTTATTAGACTAGGCCTGCTTAGGATGATAAATGCAGAATCTTTTAATCTCAACTTATAGAATTTTTCTTGTGATTTCTTGATAGAGGCTATGCAGCTTGTCCTGTTATCTTTTAATTAGGGTACATCTTTTAAACTTGAGGCTGGGTGGTCGAAGAGTTTCCCCAACTCTGTGATAGGTCTCAGAGTGGCTGATTCCATCAATAGCTTATCAAATACCAAAGTATTAAGAGTGCCATGTTGTACACGGATGGTGTCCCTGTTAGCACTTTTAGTGTGCATTGTCAAGGCCACATAAGGAATCTTAATTACGACTTTTGGTTAATTAGCAGGACTTACATAACTGCGTAGCTCATTGCTTGAGATGCTATACTCTGTTTAGAAATGAATCAAGTTCTTTTTAACTTAATCCATGCCCAAATTAGCCAATACGGTTAAACTTAAAAAACCATCACTATCGCCCAACTGTTTCACTATACCTTTCACAAACATTCGTGGTCTTCGAAATAACTTTCGATCAGTTAAATCTTACCTCTTACAAAGTTTACTAGGCGCTTGCTCTTTTTGAGACTAATTTAAATTCGACTGTTCATTCTTCAGGTTTCATACCTACTACTACTTTTGTTTGATTGG